TTGACTCTTTCCTGAGCTGCTAAGCATATTTAGCTCTCTCATTGTGGCAAGCAAATCATCCTTTGACTGAATAGGAAGTTTGTCCTCCACCTCCTCTAAAAAGAGCTTCTTCTCAAGAGTGTCTGAACAGAGAAAAGATGTTTGCTTATTCATATTTTCATACCTCTAAACATCTGAAAATCTGAATAATTCTTGTAAAATTATTTTTTTGATTTTTTTACAGCTTAATACTACCCACCATCTTTGCTGAAATATCTGTTGTTTATTTTCACTGAATCCTGTAGCGTTAGACTCTGTTTTACTTCTGAGGAGATACCATACTGCCCCCTATAGGAGAAAAAATAGCATTTAATCTTCATGAACATTTTAGAAGTACACGTTCTGTCATCATTCAGTTGTTCCACACCTTAGATTAATTGATATTGAATTAAGTTTTTAATGAAATTATTCCCCTAACTCTCAAATCAAATTGATTGCTGCATAATATTACCATATTATCTATATATAGTACATCACATATGTGACCCTGGACCACAAAACCAGTCTTGAGTCGCTGGGGTATATTTGTAGCAATAGCCAAAAACACATTGTATGGGTCAAAATTATCGATTTTTCTTTTATGCCAAAAATCATTAGAATATAAAGTAAAGATCATGTTCCATGAGGATATTTTGTACATTTCCTACCATAAATATATCAAAACTTTGCTAAGGACTTCATTTGGACATTTTTGCACCCTCAGATTCCAGATTTTCAAATAGTTGTATCTCAATATATTGTCCGATCCTAATAAACCATACATCAATGGAAGCTTATTTATTCAGCTTTCAGATGATGTATAAATCTCAATTTCGAAAAATTGACACTTAAGACTGGTTTTGTGGTCCAAGGTCACACATGTGCTATGGCAGGTTTGACATCAATTGTGATGTCATCATTATGAAACAAAGCATTTCTGGGCAGAGATTACATACTCATGTGAGAATGGGATAAAGAGATGCTTCTCTGTACACTGAGCTTCAGTCATGTGCTTTCTCCGGTTATCAAACTGATAGTTGCAAGTCTGTGTACTCCTGATTAGCTTGGAAATAAGTCCATTCTGCGAAGATAAATTTGTTCAAAAGTTGTTTGAATTACATTTTTGACTGACACGGACATGAAAGAATAAATACTGAAAGAAATCAGGCATGCTTGTCCTACCAGGCCAGGCAAGAGGGACAAGGGGCTGGTAGGGAGACTGTGAGGTGAGAAATGGCTGCAGTCTGACAGATCTCTGACCACAGTGACATCCGTGTCGATATCTTTCCGTGAGTTGACTGTGACATCAGTCTTGCATATACCATGAATTGTACTCTTAAAAATGAAAGAATAGAGAAGTAGTTAGGGAAAATCTATATTAAATCTATAGAGTGGGATCCAAAGTCTGAAACCACATTGAAAATCAGCATGTTTTGAACCTTGAAATAAACAAAGTATTAGGATTTTTCTTTTTTTTTAAATATACAAAGTTATGATTAAAAATGAACAAAACAGTTAAGATCCAGCACTTTTCTGGCTCACTACTCAAACATGAAAGCAAATGTGTGACACTGACCACACTGACACAAGATGACAAGTGGTCTTATTGCACATATAAGATTATGTGTTTTACAAATCATTTATTCAAACAACAAATGAAACATTAATTATGTAGACTGCGTTTTAATGTGCACTTTACATTTTAAATTTAATCTCACCATTTTTTCATTGTGTTCTTCCTCCAGGACTGGCACGAGAAGAGCGGAGATGATTCCTCTTTTGATGTTCAAAATGTTTTCTGGTTCATCCTTCTCTGGATAAATGGAAACACTGGTTACCTGCTCCACCACAAAATTCAGAGGGTTCCTGGAAAGGGGGTTTCATAAACTAAATGCTCAACCAAAATACAAGATGCATCATCATTACGGAAGGAACAGTATGTATTTCCTCTATTTCCTCTAAGGGGAGGAATATGCCAGATATTATGGGCTGTTCCACATACTTCTCCATGGCAAGCTGGAAGGCCTCGGCTCCAGCAGCCTGCCTGTAAACAGGCTGACCCTGTGCATCGATGACGGACACCTCGCTCAGGACACATTCTGTTGTGCGAAGGACAAAGCTGCAGGTCTGTGGGACCTCAATTTCAACCTGATGGGGGAGAGAGAAAACACAGACAGAGTATTATTATAAAATAAAGTATGTTCATAAAATAGCTTTAAAAAGACAGTAAATAAATGTATAATGTTATAATAATATTAAACAGCACAAATTTTTACAACAGTGATAATAATAAGAAATGGTTTTTGAGCACCAAATCAGCATAATAGAATGATTTCTGAAGGATCATGTGAGACTGACGACTGGAGTCATGGCTGATGAAAACTCAGCTTTGCCATCACAGGAATAAATTTTTTTTTTTTAAATATATTGAAATAGAAAAGTTATTTTAAATTGAAAAAATATATATTTTATAATATTAATGTTTTGCTGTATTTTATTAAATAAATGCAGATTTAAAAACACAAGAGTGTTTAAATAATGTTTTTTCTTTCAAAAACATTACAGACCCCAAAGTTTTGAACAGTATGTGTGCTTATATAAAAAGAGGTTATGCCGTATTAAGGATTTTTTTTGTACCTGACAGGAGATCTTTGGCCCATTCCTGAGGTTAACTGTACCCGTCACCCCATTTTTGCTCTCGGCTGTATACTGATAAACATATTTTCTGAGGTTCTTGAACCTTGCAGACACTTAAAAAGAAAACAAGCATTTAATAATTGTACATAAGTGTTACTATGATGTCAATGATAAATATAACAACTTTGTTGTTGTAATTGTTTCACAATTATCTGGCTTCACATGTTTAGAGTTGATCATGATTTCTGCAGTATTTCAGAGTCAGTTCTAAGTAATCAGATGAACTGGAGACCTTTGGACCACTTGTTGACAGAGTGGCACCTCTCTGATTCAATACTCTCGTACTCTCAACACATACACAAGGTTCATGTACTAGGGTTCACTGCTGCTATCTTCTGCAGTCGATAGTAGCACAGTAGGCCAGACTAAAGAAACTCATCCTGATTGGTTGCAGACAGGTCAATGTATGTCACAACTAACTGACCTAAGGTTGGTTAGATGAGAATCAACATGTTGTGAATTGGTCACTTACATGGGCATACGGGTGGCTGTCCTTCTCCACTGTCTTCCTCAACTACCTCAGTGTTTGCTTCAACAGAGGCATAGAAAAAAATGGCTGAATTAAATACATGTTATATTTGACAAAACACAACAAATCTGAGTAACTAGACTTTTCTTTTAGGAAAGGAGGACGGAAAAATCTCTAAATTAAATATAAGAACAGTGAACATCTTCTAGATTTCCATTCAATCACTGCAATATCTTAACATTTATATAATCTGTAAATTTTTCATAATGAATACAAAAAAATCTATATAAAAAAAGACAAGGTATATGAGTTACAGACAAAGACCTAATAATAATACAAGGATGAAAATTTGAAAAAAGGTAAATAGCATAAATACTACAGGAGAAATAAGAAAACTAGTGGTAGATAGATATAAAATCTTACCTGTCAATAAATGTGCACTAAGGATGAGTAATAGACACAACTTAGTGTCCATCTTTATGGGCACTAAAACTTTTTCTTACAGTCTTTTCACCAGCTTCTCTTAAATACTCCCACCCAGCCGAGCCTTTATAACATACCCCCCTCCCCACCCCCGGGCCTCCAAATGAAACCTCCTCCAATCAGTCAAAAGACCACAAAATGACAACTCTGACTTGTCATTCAAAGTTCAGCGCATGAGCATATCCAATCCACACAAGAAAAAAATAAATTAATAAAATGCAAGGCACATATTCTTGACTAATAAAACAAGTGTATTAAAATACACATAATTATAAAATTGCAAAATAAAATTTGAGTAAAATGAAATTGCAAGTTGCAGTAGGTGATGTTTCATGGTCAAGTAAAACTTAAGTGACAATTTCTGGGGTCTTCAACCCCTTTACTGTTCCCTAACTTTCTGACTGTACTGTATTTACCCACTGTCCTACTTTAAAAGGCATGTCGTAACACCTGATTCACAGATCTAATCAAGATGTTAATTAAAGAACAGTGTATAGGAGTCCAAGCTGATACGTTAAACACGTAAAGTAACTTTCATATAGTTACTACATAGGTGCGGTGCGTAATATTCACAATCATCCTCACACTGGGTTACAAAATTAGCCTTTAAACCTCTTTTTCAAGTTATAAAACAAAACAAATAGCAACTTTATGTCACAATGCATACAAGTATGTGCATTTGCAAATAAACAGGTATTTTGCATAACAAATATTTGATGTCTTGTGGTCATAATGTGTTATTTCCACTGATGTTTGTAATAAAACAAAATAAATGTATTTATATAAAAAGTACATTTATCATTATTAACATTGTGACTTTTGCAATATTTATTCATAATGCAACAAGATGTAAAGATTTCCACATCAAAACCTAAAATGAAATAATCGAACCAGAAACTATTGTGGCAGACTATTTAAATGTATTAACATTATTTTGTATTAGGATAAGGAACCCATTTTCTTCCATAAACTGAAAGTTGGTACAGTTTTTCTTTTGAAGAAAATAAAAGTGATGTAGGCCTAATGTTTCAAATGCATGATAGACCTAAAAAAGAAAAAAAAAGTTTTGACATAATACACCGCATGCAAAAACTCCATCATTCCCTCTCACACAAAAATCACATCTCAAGCTGAACTTTGTTCAAGTTCTCAAATGGTGTAATTGTATTTTATGTCAGGTAATAAGACTCTGTGGTAGCTTAACACTTACTGAACTTAAAAAAAAAAAGAAAAAAAAAGGTGATACTTAAACCAGTCGAAGCAGAAAACATCAGGTTTGTTATAATGACTGCATATCACAGTGATTCTGTCAATGATTAGGCCGCGCTGAACTGCGCATGCGCACCTGCGCAGAACTATTCCGGTCGAAGTTCCGTGAACTTCGCACCTGACATCTTCAGCTGATTCCGATGGACAGTGTACTTTAGATGTGAATAAAATGTCTCCAAAACGCGTCAAATTCAAGCGCAAATCAAATCATAAAAAGAAGGTCGAGTCTAAAACAGTTCCTACTAACGACGATCAACCAGCTAAGGAAGAAATCAAGGTTCAAGACGAGACGCTTGTGCTGAACTCATCGACGAGCGTGAACAAGAAAAAGAAGTCCGCCAAACAAGCGCGCATCGCTTTTCTACCAAAGAAATACCAACCGCTGGTTGAGGATGATATTGTTGACCAACCACAAGATGACAATATCAAGAAAAAACAAGACAAATATAAGAAGTTAAGAAAAGTACGTGATTAACTTTGAAAGTTCGTGGTTTGTCTGATCATGATTATTTACACAAATAGCTCTAACACTGCTTAACGTCTGAGTATCTCAGAAACAATTATTTAATGTAAACACAGCTCAGACAGAAACATTATTGCGGATTTTTAAAGAGTCAACAACAAATTATTTGAAAAATGTATGTATTTTTACGAGTTTCATAACTGGTTGGGGTAGGCCTATAGGCTGTTTAATCATGTAAACATAGCGACCAAATAATTTTTATTTTATTATATATTATTTAAATTGTTCCTCTCAGCAACTTATTTTCAAATTAACTGTTCTTATTCAAGAACATAGGCCTATAGCTAGTTCTTGAAACGTAATCACATTACCACAGATAAATATTTTAATATATTAAAATAATCTATTTTAACCACAGATTCTCTTTAACGATAATAATAATACACCTTTAAAAACAAGCTGCTTCATCATCAGTACAGTATAAGTACCAGAGTAAATATAGCATGGGGGACTCTGAACATTGTGTTAATACGACTGTATTAAAGTATGTTCATAGTCATTTTCATTTACACTTGATAGTCCACTTCAGACATTCTATTTGGCTAGCTTTAAGTAACTTTGAAACTACATGTCAACTAAGTGAGAGTTTTAGTACACTGTTAGGTTAAGGTTAGTAGAATAAGTTGACGTGTACTTGCAAAGTTACTTGTCTGTTAGGAGACCATCAAAATAAAGTGTTAGCAGATATAAGCAGACAGTCTACTGTACTAACACTAATAATGATTGGTAGTTCGCATGTAGTTGCAAAGTAACTTAGGATGTCTAAAGTGGACTACCAAAATAAAGTGTTTATCTTTGTTTATCCACTTTTTTTTTTATTTATGTTTTTTTTTTTTTACAGAATATGGGGAAAGCTCTTCGTTACAGCTGGAAGTGTCTGGTGGTTGGATTGCAGAATCTGAGCACAGCCTATTCTATGCCGCTGGGTGCCGGTGCCACAATAGTGCCAGACATCCACAGAGCCAGAGCTCACGTCTAACACGTGACTCAAGACGAGCCGGTTACATCATGAGTAGAACAGTAATCAATGTTGGATCTCTATTTTTTACTACAGCCACTTATCAGTGATATGGAACTCTGATTTGGAAGTGCAATAAGTGTATTTTTATTTATGTGCCACTGTTGTCAAGAGAGAATGGCACGGAGGAGACTAAATTTATGTGATAATTTGCCTTTGACAGGAAAATATTAAGTAGCAGATGCTGTGATGGATTGTGATTAACACACATTCTTCTGGTAATGCACAACTTATGAAAATATTTTAAAGGGATAGTTCACCCCAAAATTATAATTTTGTGATCATTTACTCATCCTCATGTCATTCAAAACCTGTATGAGTTTGTTTCTTATGTTGAACACAAAAGAAGTTATTTTGAAGAATGCTGGTAATCAAACAGTTGATGGTCCCCATTGACTTCCATAGTATTTCTTTAAAGTCAGTGGGGACCAACAACTGTTTGGTTCTTCAAACTCCTTCAAAATATCTTCTTTTGTGTTCAACATAGGAAAGAAACTCATACAGGTTTGGAACGACATGAGGATAAGTACATTTTTGGGTGAACTTTAAATTTACAGGTTTAGATCAAACATGTTTAGCAGGGAAACAAAGAAGTTTTTAATTTTATTCTTTGATATGATGGGTAAAGTTACTGTGGATGTTAGGCCAGTGGAGTACCTATATTTAGTGCGAAGACAGACCGAGACAGATGTATGGTGTTGAACAGGTGGAATGAAGTATGTTATGAAGTATGCTATCAGAAGCTGTATTGCTTCTTAAGATTGAATTATTCTTACGAATGTCGCAAGTACATCGTATCAGCATAAATGTAATGTGAAAGCACAGTTTGTACCATTTTGCACTTTTTGTAATTACACCTATGAACAAATTGTTTTATTTAACAGGATTTAGACTTTGAATTAAACAAAAATGTTGCTATTAAATGTGTAAATTGATGAACAAATTAAGCAAATGAGTTGAATAAAAAATTAGATTCGAAATGCTTGTTCATAAAACTATTTCAAGCCTTTCACTTGTTCACCAATAGGTGACAGCATTGTGTAGGACAACAGAAATGACTATGGGAAATAATTAGCACATGCAGATAGAAACAGACAGACAATACACATATTGTGTATAATAAATGAATGAATTTTAAATGAATTTTTAATTAATTTGATTATATTATTATTATTATTATTATTATGCAGTTACTGTTTTTATTATTGAATTAAAAAGGGCTCTGGATAGCAAGGTTAAACTAAAAATCCAGATACACAATCAAGATAAGGATGAGTACTAAAGGCAGCATTTTGCAACTTTCCCATTCACAATACTATTCTCTTTCCTGTTTGATGTTTTCTGGGTTGTTCCATTTTTATTATTAATTAATTAATTTAATCCACATCACTACGCCAGGGATTTCCCTACAGGTTCATTTCCAGTCATTTCATCATTACCTCAGATTCACCACTTACACAACACACCTCATTACTTTCATGTTTCAGGTCTACACATACTGTAGCCAACAGGCACATTGATGGAATGAGCGGGACAAAGTCAGTGCATATGAACTACATTCACCGCAACATACCGTATAGTGTATGTCTATGCATGGAAAGCCACCAGATAAGTTCTAGGCATTTGTAAAGTGAATTCAATATCTACACCACTGTTGCTTCACAAAGGGAGGGATGGTAAAAGTCAGCCAGCAAGATGGCCATCAGCAAGGAGGGGGAGCAGCTGTTACAGAGATAAGAGTTTGAGACTTAAACTGCACTTTTTTTTATTTATCAGAGGGCGTTGGACAGGGATGCATGGCTGAAATGTGATCTATGGACCAAAGGAGATTAAAGGTTCATGGGTGTATTCAGCTGGCACTCTCCTCCTTACAGGTGCGACGGTAGAACTTGACGTAATAGGTGGGCTGTGATCACTCAGTTACGAGATAAGAAAACGCTCTTGTCGCGAGACCATTCTGCAGTAAACACACTTGTGTTTAATGCTTTTATCTACAGACCTAATAATAATACACTCATTACTTAATAATCTAAAAGTCATAATAAAGAACACAAATATATCTGTAAAGAAGAAAAAATCATAACAAACATTATATTGAACTCCTTTCATCGTATTTTGGGTTCATTTGGGAGGCATTTAAGACAACCACTTGCCACCAGAAATATATCAGCTGTAATTTGAACTAAATATTACAAGCATACTTTTAATAGTATAACCATATTTTATTAGATGTTTGTATTATTCTTATAGTTGTATATTTTTATATACTTTTACATTATATACGTTCATATTTATGTTTGTATTTTTTGCTAAGCTGAACCCAAGTTTACACATTGTAGACAATGTAGTTAAAAAAAAAACACAAGAACAAATCTGTTTTTGTTCCCAAAGCATCTTCTTACTAATGAAGGCCGTTTTGTTGCAAGAAATTATATTCTGATTATTATAATAATATTTTCACTTTGATATTATCAAGTTCCCGTTAACATTAAACGTCAAACTAATTCAAGTCAACATCAAAAATGTGTAAAAGTCTGCCAATATTACACACAGCTTTCTGTTGTCTTGCCATTATTTATTAGACCTCCCAAAAGCTGAATTTAGAAAGCTGAATCCAATTAAAAGACATGATGCCACTGATGTTGTCTGATAAATGTGGTATTTACCTCCAGCTCCCTATATTCGTTTTCAATTACTGTCAGTTTGTGTCGTTAAATAAATTTAAGCAAGGTGTTTTTGTTGGGGATAAAACCCAAAGTCTATGATGAGCATGCTCTCTGATAAAAAAAAAAGACAGCTGAGAAATTATTAGAAGCAGGAGGCTGCAATTTTTAAAATCTGCCATTCAGTCCCAAAGTTTATCCTTCTGCTGGTCAGCTTGGCCTTATGAGAGTTAATATCTGTCATGCAATTGCTGTAAGACAGAAAAGGATGCGATGACTTCATCATCTAAATAATCTGCCTTTGTCAATAAATATACTGGGTGCAAATTAAAAAGCAGAAATCTTCCCAGCACTTGAAGACATTGACAGATTGTGTTTCATAATGTCACAATCAAACACAGACTGACTGACTCCGTTCCAATAATAACATCTGACCTACAAAGAGGAACAAGAAGGCCTGGTGGAAGATGCACAAAAGGCCAATATAAGCATCAGCCGTTGTTATGATATTTATATTCTCTGTTGCTTTCTATAGGAACTTGAAATATTTTCTAATTTATTGCAACAGAAATATCTGAGACAACATCATACATACTGGTAAAAAATGTATAGCCTGAATGCACTGTAAGTCGCTTTGGATAAAAGCGTCTGCTAAATGCATAAATGATTAATTATTAAATTATAACTATTAAATTACATCATTTGGATAACAGGATAGAACTGGCAAAATTCAACTTTCTGCTATTTCTGTTTTGCCTTGTTAAATCTATGAAAAAAAACTATGACAAAATATTATTGATATTATATTAAGGTAGTCAAAAGAGTTGAATGTAAATCTAAGACTTAAAATATGATAAAGTACTACAGATAAAGTAATATAAAACTAAATATATAATAATATACTATAATAAAATAATAATAATATATGTGCACATATAAAGACCAAAAACAGGTAGATTTCTGCAGCTGTGCTCTTACTCGTTTTATTCATACTCATTTAATCCAATATCTTTTCCTTTTTTACATCAAAAAAGTCGATCAAGCCAATATTTTTATTTTTCAAGGAAAAGCTACTTACATTTACATTTATTCATTCAGCAGACACTTTTATCCAAATTCTGTCTGTCTATTGAAATATATTTATTTGGTCTGTCTTTGTTTAATTTTAATAACGTCCATTTTAATAATATTAATCACAGTGCTTAATAACATCCAGAACACTTTGAGTTTAAACAAACACATTTCTGGTTTGGTGTCAATTTAGGGGAGCCTTATGAAGCTGTGAAGCTACAAAAGACATAAAACATATTGTGAAACACTGTGTCCGATTAATCAAAATCAATTCACAAAGAGTCCAAACCTTTAAAACCTGTTTTAAATGTACTGTTGCTCTTATGATACACCTGGAAATCTCTTGGACTGGCTTATTGATCACGGGTGGATGGTGCAGGGGCTCCTATCACGGAGGTCTCTGCTCCGGCTGGCTGAGTCACTGCTTCAGGCACCTTATTAATCAAACTACGCCTACACTATCTCTAGCCCTCTGATACATCACTCTCTACAACTGACATTTAGCTATCCGGCCACCAATCAAGAGCGTTGCTATTTAACCCAGCCCAATTTAACCTCAGCGTTTGGGCTCTTGCCCATGAGACATTTTGGTGAAAAATGACAACATATGAAAACAGCAAGGACACATTAGGATATAACGGTGAAATGTATAAGCTATGGAAATCAAAATAACTGTTTTCTGTTGGAATACATTTTAATATTTAATTTATTCCTGTGATGAAAAGCTGAATTTTCAGCAGCCATTAGTCCAGTCTGCAGAAATATTTCTTTTTATTATCAGTGTTGAAAACAGTTGTGCTGCTTATTATTGTTTTAGAAATCAGATACATTTTGTTCAGGCTTCTTTGATCAAGAGAACAGCATTGATTTGAAACATAAATCTTTTGTAACATTATAAATATATTTTACTAAATAGCTCTTTCTTTTGGTCAATTTAATATATCCTTGCTGAATAAAAGTAACAATTTCTTAAAAAACAAAAATCTTACTGACCCCAAACGTTTATGGTAGTTTATACAGCACTTTGTGTCCATACAGTAGATCATGCAGCTCCTTTACAGCTTCAAAAAGTCAATTACATAAACTGCATATGAATTCAGGAATGTTAGACGATGCTCAGTGAACTGTGAGGTATGCCAGCATACAGGTGTGAATTATTGCTTAATGTAGATAACTGGGATCTGATAAGGATTTAATACTCACTTTAGGCCCAAAAGCGTGCACCTGGGTCTAACTGAAGAATGGTTAGACAATGTATTCAGTGTCATCACAACAATAAAGACTGTATCATTAGACATGTACAGTATACTTCCTGTTTTTTCTCATCTAGAAATATCCATTGACAATGCATTTGCAGTCCTACTAAAACCTGGTTTTGCAATTAAAGCAAATCCATGTCAGAGTCTTTTAATTGATGGAATACAAAATCTCTTAAGACAAGTATGCCTTTCTCATCCCAGTGTGGGTGGCTAAATAGGATCAGCCTGTAGTCACTTTGAACCATCAAACACTTTGCTGTGGCTTATG